CTTCTCTTCTGAACCTGCCTGGATGTGACCGGGTGCCCCATGTTCTCGGTGTCCCTGCTGGAGCAGAGGGTTGGACTAGATGATCTCTGGAGGTCCCTTTCAACCTCAACTATTCTGTGACATACACTAACAGGCTCATACTGCAACAGACAGAACTACAGACGAGCTCTGCAGGGCAGGGACTAAGAACTCACCGACTCRCACGTTCCTGGGTGAAGACAGAGGCAACAGCTCTTCTCCAGGGTGCAGGTGCACCCCAGGTCTGGCCTGTCCCAGGGAGCTGGGGACACTTTACTCAGAACAGGGATGGGAGGCAAAATGGCAGCACGCAGACACACCTCGATGGGGTGGAAAGTTTGACATCTCCAGCATAGAAGGAGAGGTGAGGAGCTGGGTTTTGGTCTGTCAGGTCTGGACTGCATCCTCCAAACCTGGCACTGCTCCACTGCCTGCTCTCTCAAACTCCAACACTTGCTCTTCTCCAGAAGGTAAACCTTATATCTAACTGATGGAATAACAATTATGGAGTCCACCTCCTTCTCCAACATTTCTAACAGGGCTTTAAAGAAAGGAAGGGAAAAGAATGGGGTGGAAGAGCCACTGAGTCACCAACGAGGCAGGCCAGAGAGCTGCAGCAGTCCCCAGCGCAGGCCAGTGTGGAGGTGTGGGCTTCATGCCTGCTGGATTAGCCATGGCACTGCCCCAAACACAGCTACAGGCTGCTGCTGGAGTGGGAAGGAATGCTTTTATATGAACTTGATAATGTTGAAATAAAAAGCCCAGCAAGCGTTTCCCCAGGGCCACTTTCACCAGTACAGATGGCCTCCGTCATTCCAGTTTGGCCAAACGCAGCTCCCGGGATGTCCCTGGTGTTGTAAGCTCGTCCTTAGGGAGTGCATCTTGCAGACAAGTGACCCTGGACTCATCACATCCGTGATCTGGGCACTAAGAGTAGAGGGATCGTCTGTGTCTAGCTCAGGAACCCGGAGCTGAACTACAGCACRATCCTTTAGGAAGACATGATTCGGAATCCAGACACGTTGGAGAGTCTGCCGCACCCTTGAGAGGCCTAATTAAATTCCCCTATGAAAAGGTTCATCTTATTTCCTGTTTTAACTGTGCAGACCTGCAATTCCAGCACCTGGATCTTGTTRTACCTCTGTTTACAAGATCAAAGAGCCCTCTGCTATCAGACACCTTCTCCCCTTTTAGTGATTTGTAGATCCAGCTAAGAGGCTTTGAGCTTTGCCCTGAGAAACTGTCCGGAACACCTAACTCGGGCATTTTGGGATATATTTTGCATTCTGGAAACTTCTTGGCACCTCTCTGCACGTCTTCTATCTCCTTCTGGAAATGTGGACAGCAGAAGTCCAGCTGTGGAGCCCCAGGGCTACCCAAGGAGCTCACTCCTTGCCACCAGCCAGGGCAGGGCAGCCCATGGTGCCAAGGCACCAACATCAGATCAGCAAAGCTGGCTAGAAACCCGTGTGGGTGACACCTCGAGCAGCTCCAGTTCCCGTTCACATCCACACCCAGCACTACCACCACTGCTGTCAGAGGGGATTATAATACTGTAACAAACATGAATAGCACCTGTCAAAATAATAAATAATAGACCTTAGCAGGAAAGTGGCTGCTAGATCTCTGCATCTGGCTCTTATCTCTGCAAGGCATGAGGCAATGTCATCAGGAAAGGAATGTTCTCGGATGTGCAGTTTATTCCCCTCCTTCCCAGCAGCAGTTTCCTCTGAATATCAAGTGCTGACCACTGTCGGAAACCGCATGACGAAGGAAACTCAGCCCTGGACAGCCAGGGAATTTGGAGCTCTTCAGCAACAAACGGCTGCAGAAGAATTTTGGATGGGGTCCTGACAGCTAATGGGTGGCAAAGTCTGCAAGTGAATTCGCTGCTGGTGGATTCTTACGTCTGAAATAAGTTGCCTGGGAATAAGGACACGCTGGTGGCAACCTGCCCTCTGGTGGTGACGGCACCAGGGTGGCTCTGGGTGCACCAGGAGGTGGTGGCACCCAGGAGCAGGCAGAGGGGAGCACGTTGCCCTCTCTCAGGGCCTGGTACTGCTGGAACATCCACCTCCATCGCTTGCTCTGMGCCGGTCTCCAATGCACATGGTCACTCGCTGGCAAGCCAGAGACACTGCAAAGTTTAAGGGACATTAGGTCACTTAGCCTGATTCCCCATCTAACACAYGCTGCAAAATTTCAGCCCTACATTGAGCTCAGTGATTTCCATCTGACTAACCAGCTCTCCCAAAGCACCATTTGGAAACACCAAGGTCACAGCGCCAGAGTCTTCTGCTATCTCTTCTGTATCAGTATCTGAGCACCTCCCTGACTTAAAATGCCAAAGTCCTGCACTTCCCATAGCCAAAGAATCCAGAGCCATCAGTTCCTGCCATTCCTTTTAAACAATAAYTTTATTAAGCTTCATTGCTTCTCCCTTGGGATTGAAAGCACCTGAATAAATGGTGACACCGTGAGCTTAATGGGTTCCTGTCCAGGGCCACACAACTGTTCAGCCTGAGCAGACCTGGGAACCCCAACTCCTAACTCTTCTTCAAAAGAAACTGCGTGTGATTCAGCCAGACAACATAAAAGCACATGAAACTTTTTTTCCTTTATAAATTTGACACCCATCTGAAAATATTTTCTTTTTTGCTGCTAAAATGAGAAACAAGAGGGAACGTTTCAGTCCTTGGGAAAAGTCAGTGTGCCCAGGAAGGCGCACRGACTGTCACCATCCTGCGGTTTTAGCTTTTGCTGCCAGGTTACTGATTCCCCAGTGCTCCGGTGGAAATTGGCACATTAAGTGGGCAGACTGTTCCAGTGGAAATGTCACCTCCAGTGCCACATGGTCTCAGCAATACGGGCGTTTGCCTTCACCTAGGGTGGCAGAAAGGGCTCCRTGGTTCCCCCTATTTCCAATTTCTGTCCCTTTCAAATTGGATCCCAGGCCACATCTTTTAAACAGCCCTGATGTACTCCCCGGTTTAGCCAGGCCCCTCCAGCCTTGGCTGGCTACTCGCCTCTAGTGGCTGCTATCACTTATCAGGGGACATGCAAGAATGCCCCAAATCATTGAGCCACTGGACTTCCGTGGAAGATCTTTCCTCTCACTCCATGAGAGGGCAGCTCAAGCCATGGAAGGGCATAAGGAACAATTACAAACTCCTACTGCAAGAAGGGAGGTTGACCCCCTCATCCCAGGGCTATSTGCAAATATTTACGCCACTGGATTCCTGCCAGGCTGCCGGATGCTCCTGGTGGAATCAAGCAGGAGGGGGAGAGCTTTGCAAGTTGCTTTGCCACCAAGAAGAACATTTTCTCTCTCATGGAGCTTCCCACCRAAAGCATTGCAGAAGGAGCACCAGTACTTACAGCTGGGAAATGAGAAGCAGGAGTCCCTGGCTGCGCAGCCAGGATTCGGGCCTGGGTAACACGCTGCAGCCCTCGGCCTGCCCTGCCACCCCTCGCTGCAGGGTTCTCCCCCCTCAACCAAAAACCCCAGCAGCGCAAAGAGATGGAGACTTCAGCGACAATTCTGTGTTCTGAATGCAGCTATAAAGCGACTTGGAAAGGGGGAAATAAAGACAATTCCCAAGAGAGTAAAGAAAGCAGCCAGCCCAAGGCTGCACAGTGTTCTGTTATTTACACAACAGCTCCCCGGCGTGAATAAATGAGGTAGTGCAGGAGGAGTCAGCTGAACCCTCCACTCAGAGGGCATCCACGGGGCAGGAGAGGCCAGAAAAGCTCAGCTGGAGCACGAACTAAACACTCCTGCTGGACACAGGGCTGTGGGAGCACAGAGGAGTGCGCCCAGGCTGCTCGGGAAGAGCGGATGCCCTCCATGCTCATGGATGGAGACAAGTCCTGCACCAAGAAGATCTCAAGATCCCCGGGGCAGGGACAGACTCACGGATAGGGCAGGTCTCCGGCCCCAGGGCAGGAGAAAGGGCTCTGGTTTCAGCCCTTCTTCAGGATTCTTTGTTTCACACAAAGCAATTCCTGGTTAAATGTATAAGGTCTCCCGAAGGCTGGATTAGTTCTTTCTGGGAAAATGCTGCAAATAACAGGTTGAAAGACAACATTAGAGTATTGGAGATGAGAACAAGAAAGGGCCAAGTCCTCACACAACTAAACAGCCCGGATTTAGAGATCAGTTATAATACTGTGCACTGATCTYGTACCCCTCACGAAAATCTGAGAGAGAAGCCACTGGGCTCCTACCCGCCTGGGATCCATCTGCCCAACATATTTTGGAGCCTGTTCACTCCCTACTAAGGATTATTTGGGTTTTTTTTTTTCATGATTTGTTTTGGGATATTATGAGGAAAACAATGCCACCTCACTAGTACCCTGACGCACACAACTACTCATGAGCAAGGACGGGCATCCATGGTCCCTTCCCCACACTTGTTCCTTGCATTGGCTGCAAGAGCGACTGCACATGGGCTGGATGCACCCGAGAGCACTTGAGACGAGGAGGCAGGGCAGAGCAGCGCTCCCCACCATACTGGTACCACGCTTGGCGCCCTCCAGGTTGAAATTCCACCTTTCCTCCTACGGATGCTGCCGGCTCAGCTTGAGCCCATCTTTTCCCTACAGGCAGTAATAGTGCACGGGCGTTTTTTGCCCAGACTTGCCAAGTTTTACTCATCTTTCCATCCAAACACTTTGGATGAGGCAGAAGTTAACCAGCAGAGGTAAAGCTACCACTATTAGGCCCTTGCAGCTCTCCTCTTTAAGCTCCCTCTGCCCCAACAGCTCATTTCCCAGGGTCCAGGCCCCCAGAAGTCCCTGAGCTGGAAGCACCCTGCAGGATTCATGGCAACTCACAAGCACAGAGCCAACCCCTTTGCCAGCTCCAGGGGCTTTCAAGATCTTGGGTGCAATCCCAGCCAACAGCTTCAGCCATCCCGAGCCCTCGGGGCGCAGGATCACGCTCCTCCTGGCAGCGTTTCAGGCTCCGCGCTGCCTCCTACCTTTGATGGTCAAGACGCTCGCCCCTGCAGACATGTTTGCTTTGAAGAGTCCATCCTCCTCCTCCCGCCGCCTCGCCGCGCTCCTGGCCGCTCCGGCGCGTGCGGAGCCGGTGCCGTGTGGAAGCCGCGTCGCCACCCGGACCAAGCGAGACCAGGACCTGTAACTTCCAGCGCGGCGGCTGTTGTTTACRCCGACCGTCCTGCGCTCGGCGGCACTTGCTGGCCCTCGCGGGGCTCTCCCCCACACGCAGGAAGCCGGGGCTGGGGGCCGCGAGGGGGGGTTTCCTGCTCTGTTCGCTCACACAYGCGTAACCGGCACCCAGGCTTTGATGGAGGGACGCGGGCCCCCGCGCGGGCCTGGCAAAGCTTGGCTCAAAGCGCGCCTCGCGACAGGAACGCCCGGAGCGCTCCCCCGGCTGCGGGGCTCTCGGTGCAGTGCTGGTTATTTCCATGCTTTTTTGGGGAAATCATTCGGAATGCACACGGATGGACACAGAGGAGCGTGGAGCCGAGGACAGGCCCTGCTCTCGCCGCTCCTCCCCAGCCGCGCGGGGGAAACGGCAGGCGCGGGGCTGCGTGGGAGCCGCCGCCGCGCGCCGGGACACGGCGTCCGCGTGGAATTCGGCCCCGTGTCACCTCCGGCGGGACACGGATGGCACCGCACGCCCGCGGCCCAAGCGCCAGGAGGGCCTCGCAGCTGGGCCCTGGCGGCCGCTCGTGGCTGGGGGAGCGCCGGGACACGCGGGCCCCGGGGGACACGCACGGGACCCCACGGGCCGCCCGCGCCCCCTCCCCGCGCATGCGCGCTGCGCGCCCCGCCCCCGCGCGCGCTCCCTCCTGCTACTACAAACCCCACAATGCCCCGCGCGCGCCTCCCCCGCCCTTTTCGCCCCGCCGCGCCTGCGCACAGCCTCACACSGCTCCAAGATGGCCGACGCGGCGTCCGGCAGCTCCGGCACGGTAACGGCGCCGCCCTGCCGGCGCGCGGGGCCCGGGCGGGAGGGCGCGGCCGCGGGGCCCAGAGGGAGGCCGTTCCCACCGGCGGCGGCGCCGGGGCGGCCGCGCCCCCTCCGCAGCGCTTGTAGGCGCGGGGATGGGGAGAGGGGGGCGCTGATTGGCTGAAGCGCCGGCGGCGGGCGGGGCCCAACGGCGGCATCCCATTGGCTGCAGCTCCACTGTGGCGGGAGGGGAGGGGGGGCAGCACCGGCGTTTTTAAAGGGGCCGCGTCCCGGTTATGGGAAGCCCTGGGGGAAGGGGCGGTACCGGCGGTCCCGGTCCCGGTCCCGTCCCTGATCTGTCTCTCCGCAGAGGTCCGGCAGCAAGCAGCCCACGACGCCGGCCGATAACTACTACCTGGCGCGGCGGCGGACGCTGCAGGTGGTGGTGAGCTCCCTGCTCACCGAGGCGGGCTTCGAGAGCGCCGAGAAGGCGGCCGTGGAGACGCTCACCGAGATGCTGCAGAGCTGTGAGTGCCGCGGGCCTCGTGGGGTCCCTGCGGGTGCCGAACACCCCCGGGATCGGGGGTTAGCTAAAAACGCCCTCGGAACGGGGTGTCCCAGGCCGCGGTCGCGCTGTGTCACCCTGCGGTCGCTGCCTGGAGAACAAGCCCACGTTGATGGTTCTCATGTTTCTGGTGAAACGACGTTTCTTTGCCAGATGTTTCCGAGATCGGAAGGAGCGCCAAGTCCTACTGCGAGCACACGGCGAGGACGCAGCCGACGCTGTCCGACATCGTGGTGACCCTTGTCGAAATGGGTGAGCAGCCCCCAGAACGAGCAGTYCTGGCCGCCCGTGCTGGCCAGGCGGCCTCCGTGCCTCCCCGCTGGGACAGGGCCCTGCAGAGGGATCCCTGCGGGGGATGCAGTGCGAATATAACAGGCAGCRCCCCGTTTTTGTTCGTATGTACAGCGGAGCCCTTGGCAGGATTTTGCTTGACTTCTGTCTGAGTAGAGTGAGGCCTCAGGTGAGGGCTTCTTTTGGCAGAACAAACTCCTGGTGTGATTGCTGTTTCCTTCTCTGTTTCAGGATTCAACGTAGAGACGCTCCCTGCGTATGCCAAGCGCTCCCAGAGGATGGTCATCACTGCCCGTACGTGGGAATTCCCTTCTCTTTGTACACAGGAAATTGGAGAAAACAAAAACAAAACAAAGCAAAAAGACCTCTCCTCCTGACATCCAGAGAGCTGCTGCTCTGCTGGTGGATGACACAGTCTGGTGTTTCTAGATGGACAGCTCCCATTAAATAAATTCTGTAGTGACTATGTAATCRGTTATGGAAGGATACCCTCGAACAAATGGGTGTTGTTTGCCTTTGCTTCAGCGTCCCTGTTGCACACAAGACTCTGAAGGTGGTTTTCTCTTTTGTGTGTAGAAGAGAGGACTTGAATAACTGTTGTTCTCTGTTCAAACACGATCTGCAATTACTTATTATGAAAAACGCTCTCTTCCTTTTACAGGACCTTGAATCTTGGGTCACAGCTCAGTGTAGKTAACACTTCCTCATGCCTGGCACTTGGCAGAGTTAAGCTGATCTCTGTTTGTGGATGTTTTTTGAACCRTAGCTCCTGTGACCAACCAGCCGGTGACTCCGAAAGCCCTGACAGCCGGACAGAACAAGCCACATCCATCCCACATCCCCGGCCACTTCCCTGAGTTTCCAGATCCTCACACCTACATCAAGACGCCAGTGAGTGAGAGAGACTTTTTGTGTCATTTGGAGTTTATTTGGCGTCAATAATATCACTAGTTGGTGTATTTTTATTGTGGCACTGCCACTTTTTATCCAAGACATCAGGTTGCCTGACTTCAGTTGCTTAAAGTTTGCAGGTAACTCTCGCTGTAGATTTTAGCCTGGCTACCRTGTAGGTGTCTGAGAGGCTTGTGAATACTGAAAGTCTGTGTTTGTAGTATCGAAATCTCAGTGATGTTTTGAACTACAGCAGGTTGCACCGCATTGAGTGACAGAACTTTCTTTTCCCTTCCTTGCTCCACAGACCTATCGGGAGCCAGTTTCAGATTACCAGGTGCTGCGGGAAAAGGCAGCATCCCAAAGACGGGATGTTGAAAGAGCTCTCACGCGCTTCATGGCAAAGACAGGAGAAACACAGAGCCTCTTCAAGGATGACGTTAGCACATTCCCACGTGAGTTACCTAGGAAAATTAGTGCCTTAAATGATAGTTACCTCACTGAGTRTGCCTTTATAGATCATGTTAGTGCAGGAAGTGAATGCTGAAGGATCATGTTGCGTTTGCCCTGGCAAGGAAAGCAGGGAAATGAGGATTTTTCCATTATGAACAAGGGTAAAGAAGACAGAATTCAGAATCAAAACTAGTTTTGCCAGGTTGCAGACTGCCACCATGACCAAAGGCTTMTCCTGATGTTGGAAAAGGCCTTGGCTAATGAATGCCTCTGAATTGAGGAGGTTTCTCCCAGTTTGCTGACTCTGTCCTTTTCTCCAACCCTAGTGATTGCTGCCAGGCCTTTCACAGTACCCTACCTGACAGCTCTTCTTCCCTCTGAGCTGGAAATGCAGCAAATGGAAGAAACAGATTCATCTGAACAAGACGACCAGACTGACACAGAGAACCTCCCCCTGCACATTACCACGGTACGCACAGCTTCCGAGAYGCACAGGTCCCTTGGGCCTGACTTTCTTAGACTTGTGAAACCCGGTTCTGCTTTGTCTGTCTTCCTTGCAGCTGGGCAGAGTGGGTGGGAAATGGCGAAGTGGGTTGCATTTTATAGCATTTTATAGCACCTCCCCAGGTGTAAATGTCTAGCACTGTCATGGTTCCCTAATTTCCTCCAGGGTGCACTGTATAATGAGATTCTTTGATGCTGGATCGTGTGCTTTCAGGGCAACCTTCATTTCAGTGTGAGAGGAGAGAGGACTCCATGACATCTTGCAGTGTTCCCAAAGAAGATCTGCTTTTGCTAGAAATCAAAAATCTGCACTTTTAATACAGCTCCTTGTCTGCTGCAGTTTATGTTGGTTGCCTTTTTGATGTGTTTTACCCCTAGGCTCTGTGGTGTTTGAACCATTTCTAGCCTAACTTTGTTTATGCTGGTGKTTTTTTTTGTTTTGTTTTGTTTTTAATTAATGTGTCAGGATGATTCGGGACCTGAAAAAGAAAATGCTTCAGTGCTACAGCAGAACACCTCCCTGTCGGGCAGCCGGAACGGGGAGGAGAACATGATCGACAATCCTTACCTCCGGCCCGTGAAAAAGCCTAAGATTCGCAGGAAGAAGTGAAGTGCAGCCAGCTGACTGCCCAGAGCAAGAGGAGCCCAGTTTTCGGGCTGTCCTGGCTGTCACCACTGCTGCTGTAGATGAGAGACATGGCACAAGACAAGAGGAACAAGCAGGCTGCTAGAGCGGCAGGAGCAGGGATGTGATCTCTCCTGCACTGTCATCCTGTCCTGCAGTGCTCCCTATTCCCCTCCACTCCTGCTGACGTGGAACGGTGAATAGTCAATGGCCTTAAAGGCATTTGAGGCCACCTGGTTACAGATAGGAACAGTCTTGGTTATTTTTGTTCCTTGTTTCTGTGTCTAAGGAGAACAGGCACACAGGTCCCTCCCTGCTGCTTAGTGCTTCCCAGCAGACACTACAGGATACAAGGACATAATTTGTGGCTGTCTCACAGGTTAGAAGAGAAACTGACTCAGTCTGGCCTTAGAATCCAAGCAGCATGTGTAACAAACAGAAGAAGCCCACAGAAGTTTTCTGTTTTTAAGCTATCTTTGTATTGTTGGCAGGTAAAAGCAAATAGACTCTTCTAAACTGAAGGTGTTTGATATGTTGGTAGGAGAGCAGTGTGTAAGTACAGAACCAAGATGGCATTTTACGAGCATYTTACTGACTACAGCTGCACTTGTAACTTAAGCTAAGTGTAGTGTTTACACTGCTCTGCTTAGAAGTTATTTTCCAGCAGAATGTATGTTAGGATGTAACAGCTGCTTCGGGGCATTTTTCAGTTCCAAAGTTAGTTCCAACACAGCACAAATCCCTTGAGACTTCAAGCCCTCGCCAGCTRTTTGAAAAAAGCTGTGCTGAAAGTCTTGGTATATGGAATAAAGCGGTATCRAGTTTACAGTCCAGAGGGTCATTCTGTTGTTCACATTTTTTTATTTTATCATTTCTCAGTTAAGAACTTTTATCCACAGAGTTCTCCCCCCACCCACCATGTTCTTGCGAGCAGAATCCTTCTTTTCAGCAGGGAAAATGAATGATGATGGGAGTTTTGTGATCATTAGCTAACTTGTGAGGCCTTTCCTTTAATCTTCGGAGCCTTTACTTGGGCAAAACATGGGTTGAATTCCTAAGACAAAAGGCTCCTCTTTGGTCCAGATCTGCATGTACCATTGTCATTCCTGCTGGTGCCTTGGTTGTACAGAATAACGAATGTACAGAGATCCATTGTGTATATGTGTATATATAAAAAAAATCTATTTTTCTTTATTCAGATTACACATTTTTTCATGATTGCAAAAATCCCTCACTGGGTAGGGGAAAAAATGTAGAGTGAAAATAGTGAGGTTTATGTTCATAATAAAAGAAGTTTTATGTCCAACAAACAAAATTGATTTGACTGAGTCCTTGGCATCTGGAAAGGCTGGGAAAGCGTGTGAACAGTGTGTGGATTGATTTTCTTTTTTTTAATTTTTAATTTTTATTTGGGAAAAAAGCCCCCTGTGGTGGCACAGAGTGGCAGGGAGAAGGGGTGTCATTTTGTGGAAGTGCTCCCACAGCAACGTGGGGAAATGGGAGCTGCAGAGAAGGACACAGCATGTGGGGCCAAGTACTCAGCGAGACCAGAGCTACCCGCTGCTCTTCCCTTCCTAACCCTTTTTATTTATTTATTTTTTTAATGGAAATATGATATTTGGAAAACACAGAAGTGGCCAAAACCTCTTTTTGAAGCCGTTTTATTTTGGGAGGCAGAGCTAGAGAGGCCCGAGGCGGCCGTTGGAGCACGGAGGCTCAGCCGTAGTACAGGCTCAGGTAGGCCACGCGGTTGCGAYGTTTCCTGAACTCCTTGTCTGCCACCAGCTAAAATAAAACCCGTCCTGTTAGACCGTCCTCAGCGTGTCGCTGCCAGGAAAGGGCTTTTCCAGCCTCAACCACTGTTTTAAGTTGGGAATATTTTCCTCTCAGGAGAGCTGCACGGGGAAGTCTGCACGTAGGTGCCCATGTTTTGGCTAAAATCTTACTTTTAGATCAGACTTCTTAACAGAAAACTTTTTAAATTATTGCAGATATTTCCTCCAAATTTGGTTTCAGCAGAGCGGGTATCTGATAGGCAGTCGCCTTGTAGCTTGTGTCCCAGGCTCGTACAGCCACATTCCCAGCAGGACAGTGAGGAGAGGCTGACAAAACGCCTTTAAATAATCCCCTGYTTTCCTTTGCCAGAAGTATCCAACAAGGAATCCCATCCCCTTACCCTGCCCATGTGTTGGGTACCTCTGTTTTTAGTGTCTTCTTCACCGGCTTTGGCACTAAAGCCCAGTCTGGTGACCCAAACTTCATCGGCCAGGTGATTTTTTTGTGCAGCAAGAGCTTGTCTGCTTCGTAAGTTCCAGGGCTAAAAAAGATATAGGCACCATATCACAAAGTTGGAACTGGAGTGCGATGCTTGCGGCTGCTRATGTCCCGGTCCTGCCTTAATCCTTGGGAGAAACGCATGTTGTGGGCTCCTAGTCACCATGCTAGGTGAAAGACTAAACCACAGGGGAGCTTTTCAAACGTAAGGTAGGTTACTGGGAATGCAGCTGCCCGTCTCCCACTTGTGCCTTAGTATTTGACTCTGTTAGTGCTCTTGCTAACTACTAAAGCTGTGAGAGGAGTTGTGTTACCCTGGGAAAAATTCTCTTTCCAAAGGCTTCTCTGGAAATCGTGGTGTTTTCATGGAAAACGGGGCATAGGCAGACAGACGTTTTCTCTCCCACTGTGACTGGTACGCTCCCGGGCCAGGAGTCACAGCCTGTAAGAGAGAAAAWTTCAGTACAGAAGATTTTATGTCCTGCACAACATTTCTACGTGGTCAGCAGCCCCCTGGATACTATAGACTGCTATTCAGTGGATACCCGGGATGCTCTGCTAGTGTAAAACAGCAGAACAAGGTAAATTCGCCCTCACTGCTGCTTCCCCCATGTTGCCTCTGCCATCTCTCCCTCTGTACTGCCATTTTACAGAGTTAGGCCAGGTAACATACCGTGTTGGTGAGGCAGCAGGTCCTTGATTTGCCTCAATAAGGTGGATCGAGAACTGGCTGGGTGGCAGAGCCCAGAGCGTGGTGATAAATGGGGCTGAGYCCAGTTGGAGGCCTGTGGCCGGTGGTGTCCCCAAGGGCGGTACTGGGCCCGGTGCTGGTCAACTTGTTCATCAACAACTTGGACAAAGGCACAGCGGTCACCCTGAGCAAGTTTGCGGATGATCCCAAGCTGGGTGGAGTGGCCGACACTCCAGAGGCCTGTGCTGCCATTCAGAGGCACCTGGACAGGCTGGGGAGTTGGGCAGAAGAGAGAGTTGGCCAAGAAAACCAATGGGCTCCTGGCTGCATCAGGAGGATGTTGCCAGCAGGGCAGGGAAGGGATCCTGCCCYTCTGCTCAGCTCTGGTGAGGCCGCACGTAGAGGAGCACTGGGGGCAGTTCTGGGCTCCCCARGGCAACAGGGACATGGAGCTTCTAGAGAGGGTCCAGTGGAGAGCAACAAAGATGATGAAGGGACTGAAGCATCTCTCATATGAGGAAAGACTGAGTGAGCTGGGCCTGCTTAGCCTGGAGAGGAGAAGACTGAGAGGGGATCTGATCAACATGTATAAGTGYCTGAGGGGAGAATTWAGGGAGGAGGGGGCCAAACTCTTCTTGGTGGTGACCAGTGACAGGACAAGRGGTAAKGGGTGCAAGTTGAMACCCAGGAGGTTCCATCGCCATGTGAGGAGGAACTTCTTTAGTGTGAGGGTGCCAGAGCCCTGGCACAGGCTGCACAGGGAGGTTGTGGAGTCTCCTTCTCTTCCAGCCCGCCTGGATGCAACTGGATGCCCCGTGCTCTGGGTGTCCTTGCTGGAGCAGGGGGTTGGACTAGATGATCTCTAGAGGTCCCTTCCCACCCCAACCACTCTGTGGTTCTGTAATATGTTCATGTGTGTGTGTTTGTGATGTAAAGGAACATGTGAGGCTCTGTATTTGTTGTTGGAGCTCATGTGAACAGTCAGCACGCTCGAGGCTCAGTGCAGGAGTTTACCTGCCCTTAGGTTATGTGTAGGGAGAGCTATGGCTACTATATGTTAGGTCTATTTTTGACTGTCTACTAATGTCACAGATACGGAAAAGAATGGTTTTCCAACCCCTCTCATTGTCCAGGTCTGTTTCTGAAGAAAGTCCTCACCACAAATGGAAGGGAGAATAAAAAGCGGGAGTAGCTGATGTCTGCAGGGGATGCAAAGCTCTTGAGGGACTTGCCTGGCCCCCTCGGGCCTGCTGCATTATTTCGGTTCTCTTTCTCCAGTGGAACTGAAGCAATATGTGGATCTCGAGCGCTGTGCACAAGTGAACTCCACCTCCGGCAAATGCAACCAAAGCTGGTGGGAACRGACTGCAAATTCCTGTGGGTTGTGACTGTGCTGCTTTGAAGAGCACTCGTCTTACCTGTGATTCCGGCATGAAACGCTGCGCTGTTCTCGCCCCTACCACATAGCCTTTCTTACTTAGTGGCTTGTGAGCCAGGGAGTATACCAGGCTGCTTTTCTGCAATTCAAAAGCAGAAACATCTTACCGACATTTTTAAGACACCATTTTCAGCAAAATAGGTCATTCCCTCTAATTTCTCTACTTTATCCTAAATTTAGAGTGTTAGGACACTTTGGAGCTTTGAAGACCAGTACATCTAGTCGTATATTCCAGGATGAGAGTGGCCTTTCCTAGTATYTGCATAGCCCTTCTACAAAGGCTTTGCAGGACACGCGTTGGGATGCCACGTCTGRCTGATGATGGTCTTATTGCTGCTATAGGGTTGGTCTGCTGTAAAGGAAAAGCTCTGAACGTGAAAATCCAAAAAACTCACCTTGTGGTTCTGATAACAGCCTGGCCCAAGCCAAGCCTCTCCTCTGATCGGGACGAGCTGGATGCCCAGTCTGTCTGGTGCGTGGTGGAAAGGGAACAGTTTCCGCTCCTGACACGACCCAAAGGAGATCCGCTTCTGGATATCTGTGAGGTCAGGGGAGGCGAATGCCACCAGTGGGAGTCACCCCCGAAGAGACAACAACTTGCTGCTTCCCTTCCTTTCCAAGTATGCTCCGCTTCCTTGGCACCCCCCTCTCTCCCAGCTGGCAATTTCCCCTGCCCACAGATATTTAGGAAGGTTCTGCCCCTCCCRTGGCTCTTCACAGCCAGCTCCAAGGCTTCTTTGTCACCAGACACGCAGAGAGGTGCCCTGCAGACTGCGGGGAGCAGAGCTGGTGASCCCAGGGCGCTGTGAGAGGAAAGCCCCTGTGCCCATGGCAGTGTGCCCGGGTGCCGTGCACRCTCACCGCTGAGCTCCAGCTCGTCCATGGCGCTGCCAGTGGCACGCACAGCGTCCTGGTGTCACCGCACTCCGTCCTGGTGTCACCATGTGTGTRCTCCGGTTGCTATAGACACGGCGGGGCGGGTTCAGCGCTCAAGGGAATGCCGGTGTCTGCAGCTCCGGGCAGGACGGCTCCTAAAAGCCCTGGCGGGTTGTGGTTCCCGGCAGGAACCATCCTGCCAGGGGCACAGAGGGCTGAGCTGGCTTTATGGAGCCCTTGGAAAGAGTCAGGGTGGGGAGGGACGAGATGGGACTCTGTGGCTGTGTCTGAAACAGCATTTCCTACATCCAGGAGATCTATCCGCGYGCGCATCCTCCTCACGCAGGAGCTGTGTGTGCATGGGGGTCAGCTGTGGGGGGCCTCTGGACAGCCGCTTCTTGGCTGTGCAGCCAGGTTCCTTGTCTCTGGGCTCTCTCTCAGCACAGCCTGATATTCCCCAGCTCCTCCTCTCCTCCTCTTCCCCCTGCCTGCTGACTTGCCTGCTGGGACAGCAAAAAACCCCTGGAAAGAAAACAGTGTGGGGCTTTGGAAGTCCAGCCCCAGYGGATTCCTGCTATTCCCTGAGCACGGGTGTAAGTCTCAAGAGGGAACCAGAGAGCGTCAGAATAGTAAGAGCAAGATGATTCCAAGCAGAGAGGATTGTTGCTGTTGGAGAACTCTTTATTTCATCATTACA